ACACCCGGGTCAGCCCGACACGCCCAATCAACGCATGCTGTGTCCAACACCAGAATGCCGTCATTGCAGAGCTCAGCAGTGCGTGGAATTTTTTGTGTGTCTGCCTCTGACAAATACGATGCCATTTTGCAACCTGTGCCAAAGAAACTGAGTCGTGGGAAGTCCAACACCCACCTAGGTGTACAACTGCTTTGGCGAGGCACATACCACATCACAAACTTCTATGGGATCAACACCATTACGAGTACAAGCAGCTCGCCTACTCTAAGCCGCCAGCCTCCTCCTGGTCCAGCATCTTCAGCCACGTCAACCACTGCTGTCCTCCTTTTCCCCTCTCAACCATCCGCCACTCCGCCTCCCGCCTTGAGCAGTTCACGCTCATCTTCCCACAGTCATGTGTCTGTCAAGGACATGTTTGAGCGAAGAAGACAATGTCAGAAAGTCACCCCCTTGCCCAGCATCTGACTGCTGGCTTGTCCGAACTATTAGCCCGCCAGCTTTTACCATACAAGCTGGTGGAGTCTGAGGCGTTCAAAAAATTTGTAGCTATTGGGACACCGCAGTGGAAGGTACCCGGCCGAAATTACTTTTCGCAAAAGGCAATCCCAACCTGTACTCAATTGTGCAAAAGGAAGTAATAGCATCTCTGGCACACAGTGTTGGGGCAAGGGTCCATTGACCACTGATACCTGGTCTGCAAAGCATGGTCAGGGCAGGTATATCACCTACACTGCGCATTGGGTAAACCTGCTGACTGCTGCCAAGCATGGAATGCATGGCTCTGCAGAGGAGTTGGTGATACCGCCACGACTTGCAGGCAGTCCTGCTGCCACCTCCTCTACTCCTCCTACTCCATCCTCTTCCATAACCTCCTCGGCTGAGTCCTCTTCTGCTGCTGCGTCTTGCTCCACATCAACGGCACCCCCCCAGCTCCCCAGGTACTATTCCCCATCCCGGATACGGCAGTGTCACGCTGTCTTGGGGTTGACTTGCCTGAAAGCAGA